GGAGGGCCAGGCCTGTGGAGGGCCAGGCGCCCGAGTTATCCGGGGTAACTCGGGCCCGGGGTATCTCGGGCTTGGATTCCCGAAACATGAACCCGAGTTAGCCCCGACCCGAGTTACCCCTGATGATTCGGGGCTCTGGGCGCCCGAGTTATCCGGGGCAACTCGGGCCCGGGATAACTCGGGTTCGAATTCCCGAAAGACGAACCCGAGTTAGCCCCGACCCGAGTTACCCCTGATGATTCGGGGCTCTGAGCCTCCCCAGAGAGCGGAGGCAGGACACAGAGCAACCCGCTCGCCTCTCGAGGTCGGACGGCGCCAAAGTTAAGTTGGGCGTGTCCCCCATACAGGGGGATTGTGGGCAAAAATTACAAATATTCAAAACATGCTCAAAAGATGCCCAGAAATACTCAAAAATTAGTCCCCAGACATTTTTGGACTATTTTTGAATATCCCCCCTGTAGAGTGACGGGCCCGACTTAAGCCTAAAATAAATGGGGGGAATCGAGAAATCCGCCGACCCTGTCGGCGCATGAGAGAGGCTTGTTCGCTCGAGTCGTCCATTAGTCGCTGCCTCTGCCGGCTCCTTTCCCTGCGGCCAGGTATTCCCTGGCCCCGTAGCCGCTGCCCCCCCCTTTCCTGGGTCCTCCTCCGCGCGCGCGCGCGCCAGCCAAAGCAAAATTGAGCAACGTCGCAATTCAATCGAAGGGAAGCCCCCTCCCTTTGATCCCTCCCCCGTCGGGGGGGTGGGGGATCACGGGGGGGGTCGCCACTCAGGTGTGACTCCCCCGGGAGGGCTCCCCGGGGTCGCCACCAGCTACGCCTAATCCCACCAGCCCCTTAGGTCGTAGGTGGTCTAGGGTGTTTTGTCTTCCATCTGCCCCTCTTCCCCTTCGGTCACTGTTCCCTATTAACAAACACCACCTCCCCCACCCGGCCGGCAGCCAACCCGGAACCATGCGCACACCATGAGCCCCCACCCACAATCCTTTGCAAAAAACGCTACAAAATACACATTGCGGGGCCCACCCTGCCAACACCCTCCACAATCCCTATCAAAAACAATACGAAGTGCACATTGCAGCAACATCTGGACAGTGCGTTGGCGCCCTGTGAGCACGTTGCATTGTGTTTTGACAAGGATAGCGGGGCACCCTTAGTGAAGCCGCGTTGTGCAGGACCGCCATCCGGGTCGAAAACAATGCAAACTGCACGTTGCGACAACGTCGTGGGTGTTGTGCTGGTCACCCGCGATCATAATGTATCGTTTTTTTTTTTTTTTTTTGTTGTCAGGGGCGGCAGTGGTGCCCGCATGATGATGCTTGCTGTGCGCAGGCCCAGAACAATGCTTACGCCCCCCACATCAGCATCTGGACCATGCGGACGGGGGGGGGCATCACATTTTTTACAAGGATGGCACACCAACCGCATGTGGAGCCCGTGGCGAGCGTCGCGCACCTGGCGTCCGCTATGGCTCCCACTGGCTGTCCATCCAGTGGCGACCCCCGGCTATGCCGAGACTCGGATGCCACTCGTGTGGCGGGAGGGCGGGTGGGAGTGAGCTAGACGGCTTGCGTGCGGAAAGGGTGCCTTGACCCCTCCTCCGACCCCCTCCCCTGGACCTGGACTTGGGGTCCCGCGAAGGGTTGTAGCGTCCAAGATGGCCCAAGCTGGCTCAAGCTAGCCCAAGATGCCTCAAGATGACTCCCATGATGCTCCAAGATGCCCCAAGGCCGCTCCAAGAAGGCTCCAAGTGGCCAAAGAGCTCCCCAAGGAGGCCTCAAAGAGGCCCAAATCCTTCCAAAACTTGAAAAAATATATGTGTGTTGTTTTCTCGCTTCTTCGCTACCGATGGTCATCCGAGGCCTCAAGATGGCTCCAAGATGGCCCGAGAGGGCTCCAAGAGCGGCTCACGAGAGCCCCAAAACGGCCCCAAGAGCGCCCAGGAGCGCTCCAAGAGCGCCCCAGCAGGAGACTGTTGGGGCTCCCGAGAGGCAACACTAATAACAGCTCCTCTCTTGTTTGATCGATGTCCTCCAAGATGGCCCCAAGAGCGCTCCCAAGGCTCCCAAGAGAGCCTCAATAGGGCTCCAAGAGGCGCCCATGTGGCCCCAAAAGGCGCCAGGCTCCCAAGAGACCCCCCAGAGGCTCCCCGATGCACCCGAGATGCTCCAACAGGCCCCCGAGACCGCCAAGAGGCCCCCTAAAACGCAGGAGAGGCCCAAGAGAGTCCCAATACGGCCCCAAGAGCGCCCAAGAGTGTCCCAAAAGCGCTCCAAGAGGGACCTTTCCTGTGTGCTGGCTACTTCCCTGATCGAGGCAACTCCTTTGGGCATCGTCTCTGGATGGGCTGGTGGAGTTACTTTTTTTGGGTCGGCGGCTCCAAGGCAACGGTCAGGGAGCGGAAGCGGCGTCCGGGATGCGGCACGGTGCGAATTTGCGAACACAGCCGCCAACGTCGGCAAGCCAGGTCGCACCTGCAAAACAAGCTCGCAGCTGCACGTGCACAAAACAAAATGAACTAAATTCACAAGCAAACGCCCATAGGCGCAGCAGCGTGAACCGAAGTAAGCGAGCTGCAAGGGGAGTGTGCGAAGACAGCGGAGTGAGTCGCCGTTTCGGCGCCAGACTCGCGGCCACCTGCCCACGCCGGACGGCTGTACGGTGTAACCGGGCAGAGCGCGGAGGAAGACACAGGGCTGCGCGAGCGCGGAAGGCTGAACCACTCAACGCTCTGTCTTCAGAATCCTCCACCCAGCCGGGGGGGGCCAGCGGCAACCCAAGGCGCACAGACTCCGGCACCTGAAGCGGATAGGCCCGCTGGCGGCCGAGACAGTGTGCGGGGGAAACCACAGGCTGTACAGGTGGAGGCTGAACCACTCAGAGCCAGGCCCTCCGAAGCCCAACTCCCAGTGCCAATGGGAGCCAGCGACAGCCCAAGGCGCAACTGTGCCACCGGGTCCTGACGCGAAGGGGTCCGACGGCCTGCAGCACCGCCGACATTTGGTGAGGGTAACTGGTGGAGTTACGCGAAGCGTCTAGAATTTCACAAATTTCCCTTGAGTTGATGCAGGATCTTGGCATCCTCCCCTCCTCTGCTTCTCGACGCTCTACGACGGCCCCAGCGGCCCCCAAGGTCGCTCCAAGACGGCCCAAAGTCCTCCGAGACGTTCCCACAAGTGCCCAAGAGGGCCTCTAGACGGCCCGAAACGCCTTCAAGACAGGCCAAAAAGCACCCAAGACGGTTCCAAGAGGGTGCTCAGAGGGGAGACCCGAACGGACGTCTTGAGCCCTCGTACCCGAGAAGCTCTCAGGAGGCCCCAAGAGGCCTCCAAGACGACCTCAAGAAGCCCCCAGGAAGCCCTCAAAAGGCTTCCAAGAGGCCCTCCAAGAGTCGCGCCAAACACCCCAAAACTGCCCACCAGAGGCCCTCGACAGCGCTTCGAAGACACCTCGACATACATTCCCACCTCCCCGTGCTCCTCACCCACCTTCTCCTCCTGTTCCTCCGCATCGTCATCGTCCTCCACCTGCTCATTGCCCTTCTCGACCTCATTCTGCTCCAACTCCCCCGCCTCATCCTCCTCAATGCTCTTCCTCATTCTCCCCATCCTGCTCCACGGCATGCTCTTCTTCCTCCTCCTTCTCCTCCTCCTCCTCCTCCTTCTCCTCCTCCGCCTCCATCCTCCTCCTGCTCCTCCTGCTCTTCTCCGCCCTCCTCCTCCTCCTCCTACTCCTCCTCTTCCTCCTCTTCACCCTTTCCCTCCTCCACATTACCCTCCTTCGCATCCTCCTTCGCATCCTCCTCCTCCTCCTCTCCATCCTCCTGACCACCTCCTCATCATGCTCCCCCTCCTCCCCCGCGCGCTCTTCCTCTGGTGTTCCGCAATCTTACCTCAACCTCGTCCTTCCCATCCTCCTCCTCTTCCTGCCCCTCCTCCTCTCCTCCTCCTCCTCCTCCTCTCCTCTCTCCTCCCTCTCCTCCTCCTCCTCCTCCTCCTCCTCCTACTCCTCCTCATCCTCCTCATCCCACTCCTCCTCCTCGGCGTCCTCCTTCTTCTCCTGCTCCACCGGCTCCCATCCTCCTCGTCCTCCTACTGCGCCTTCCCCCCACGTCCAAACCCCTGCCCCTGCTCCTCCTCCTCCTCTTCCTCCTCCTCCTCCTCCTCCTCCTCTTCCCCCTCCTGCTGCTCCACCGCGGCCTCCGCCTCGTTCTCCTGCTCCTCCTACTTCTCCTCCTCCTCCTCCTCGTCCTCGTCTTCGCCTGTAGGGTCGGCGGCACTGGCCGCAAGGCCTTCACAGTCCATACTTTCAACGACAAGTGGGCGAAAAAAACAAAATGTGTCGCTTTCGTTTTGTTGTCGTTTACCCTCTTTTTGTCCCCCATCCGACCTTGTTGCAAAACCAAATCGACACGGAAATGGTCCACGAAATCGCCAGAACACTGTTCAGGTCGACTCCTTCCTGTGGGTATACTTTCGGAACTCCGCGCGGAATTCTTGGGCTGGCGATCAAAAGCCCTCTGGCGGCGCCTCCAGCATTTTTATATATTTATATGCCTACCACGACATGTTCTTACCACTTACCACGATATATATATATAATATAGGTGTGTGTGTATATATATATAGCTGTCTGATAACATATCGCCGATGCATTAACACAATACGTTCTCAGCCAGACATGTTTACGAACAGTTCGTGGGAACCACGAAGGGTTCTCATAATATAATATGGTGGGCGACTCGGTACATAAGCCAGGACGCTTCGCCACTGCTTGATATAATGAGGAGGAGGAGGAGGAGAAGGAGGAGGAGGAGGAGCAGGAGCAGGAGCAGGAGCACGAGGATGAGGAGGAGGAGGAGGAGAAGGAGGAGGGAGGATGTGAGGAAGGAGGAGGGGGGGGAGCAGGAGGAGGAGGAGGGATAGGAGGAGAAGGAAGAGGAGGAGGAGGCGAAAGAGGAGGCGACGACGGCGGCGACGGCGGGCCGCGGCGCGGAGGGCCTGCCCGACGCGGAGGAGGCGCCCAGCAGCCGCAGCGTCGGCTTGGTCTGCCGGGCTTGCGCCCCGAGGGTGGCGTAGTACCGCGCGGGCGCGAACCCGCAGGCCTGGCCGGGGGGGAGATTGGGCGGGGTCGAGGATGAGGATGAGGATGAGGAGGAGGAGGAGGAGGAGGAGGAGGAGGAGGAGGAGGCGGAGGGGGAGGAGGGAGGAGGAGGAGGAGGAGGAGGAGGAGGAGGAGGAGAGGAGAGGAGGAGGAGGAGGAGGAGGGAGGGAGGAGGAGGAGGAGGAGGAGGAGGAGCAGGAGGAGCGAGGCGGGGCGGGGTCGAGGGGAGCGCGCCCGCGGCCCGCGGCCGCGCCGTGCCCTGCCGTCCCGCGCGCGGGCGTTGCCGGCGGGCGCCTCGCCGCAGCGGGCGGCCGCTCTCCCTGGGAGGGGTGCCCCCACGTCGGACTGTCGTGGGAGGGCGGCCGTCGGCTCTGTGGTGGCAAGGACGTCCTCGGAGCCACCGAGCAGCCCGCGCGAATCTCGCGTCGGGAGGCGAGTGGAGTGGAGCGGGTGTGGACGCCATCGGGAACCGCCCGCAGCCACTGCTGCCTGCTGGGCGAGAGGGCACGGGTGAGCGCCTTTGGCCAGCGTCGCTGCCGCCGTCCACGTGGTCGCGGTCGCCGCCGCCGCTGCCGCCGTCACCGCTGGTGCCGCCGCCGTCCGCGCAGTCGCCGCCGCCGTCGCCGCCGCCCTCCGCGTGGTCGCCGGCGGCGCTGTCGCGGCCGCAGGGAGGATCCTGAGGTGGATGGAATCGGTGATGCATCGCGATAGATCGGGGATGTGCCCTCAGTTGCGAACCCGCATGGTCCCGGGCGGGATCTGTCGGGCCCCTATCGGCGATCAATGAATGGAATGGGGCCGATCCCCTCCCCCAACGTTGCCCCCTGTCGGGCCACAGCTCGGCTCCCCGGGCGCCGTCCGGGACGCTCTGGGCGCCCCCAAGAAGACGCCTGCGGCGAGGCGCAGCTGCTTGAGGGGGCACCCGGGTGCTGGACAACATCGCCGAGAACCAACGGGCACGATCGACAACGCCACACCTCAAAACTTTGTCCACGCGGTCGCCGCCGCTCGTCGCCCGCCGCCGCCGCCGCCGCCGCCGCCCGCCGGACCACTGGGCCGCCAGCCTCGCCGCCGCCGCCGGCGTGCTCGCCGCCCGCCGCTGCTTCTCGCCGTGCCGCCGCCGCCGCCGCCGTCCCCCGTGGCCGCCGCCCGCTGCTGCTCCTCATCGGGCCGCCGCCGCCGCGGCCGTCTCGCCCGCGTGGTCGCCGTCTCTGAAGGGGCCCCAGGACACACAAATAAATACACAAGTAAAAATATCCCCCATATTTTCCCATATTTTCTGGGTTTCTGTCTTCCCCCACACTTCCCATATTTTCCAATATGTTCCGAGGAATCGACGATTCATTGTGTCTGTGTTTTTTCCCCTCCTGAGTCTCGCCGCCCGCGCTGCTCGCCGGGCCGCTCGCGCGGCGGCGCCTGCCGCGCGCGCACGAAGAGGTCCCCGGCGGGCGCCTCCCACACGCCGGGCGGCCGCGCGGCCGCCTCGTCCGCGTCAGCGGGGCCGCCGGCGTGGGAGCCCCGGCGGCCCTCGGCGGCCACGTGCCTCGGGCGCACCCGGGAAGCAACTCCACGAGGAAGCACGCCCCCTTCCTGCCGGCCTCGTCCTCCTCCTCCTCATGCCTGCTCCTCTGGAGTGCCGTGTGGCTCTGCTCCAGGGCGGGAGCATGCTGTAGACGGCTCTGCCCTGTCTCCGACCTTGCACCGCGCCGAGCGCAGCTGCCGCGATGTCTACAGACGCATGCACCCCGAGTGTGTCTGCCTACATAACGACACCCACTGTGTCCAGAGACGCTTGAGGCTAGAAAGTGAGAATGGTCTGTGGCGTAGGCTCCAGACCAGATAGTGTTATTCCAGACGCAGGTAGACTTGGCCCTCCTCCTCCCCCTCCTCCTCCTCTCCGCCCTCCTTCATCACACATCCTCCCTTCTTCTACTTCCTCCTCCTGCTCCATTGGCTCCTGCTCCTCCTCAACTTTCCCTCCGCCTCCTCGGGCTTCTCCTCTCATTGATCCACCCCAGCTCTCGCATGGTAATTCTGGAAAGAGGTGGGACAGCCAGACGCACAAGTCTTCCACCGCGTGCGCAGATCGATTGATGGTCAACTGGGGCGCGAGCGCGCATGCTTTGTTCCTGCCCCGTCACTTATGCGCCCTCCCTCCGTCCTGCCCTCCTCTCATCTCCCCCACCCGCCCGACTGCGCGACGGATCCAGCTGGGAGATCCAACGGGAGCACTCCCCTCCGCATCAGCCTCGAGCCTCTTCGTGCTCGGGCCACCCCTCGGTGCCCAAGGCTCGCCAGCGCAGCGCGCCAGTGTCGACGACGACGGCGACAGGCGACGGTCGACGACGGACGGGGACGGACGATGGCGCGATGACGGCCGACGACGGACGACGACGATGCCGTCGGCGGCCCATCCACCCAGCTGGTGGGTACCATGGGCCGATCCGAAGATCGACCCAAAGACGGCACGGGTGTGCTGCGACAACGGACGTGGCCAGCCAACCCAGCTGGTGAAGAAAACCGTGTGGGACGGTCCGAAGACCGACCCAAGGAATGGACGCATGTCAGGGTCGGGCTGGCCCCTCCGTCCGCGCCCTTGCGTCCGTAGGGTCGCGGCAGCGGACGGCCCCCCCCCCCCCCGCAGGTGAGCACCGTGTGCCGATCCGAAGGACAGGCCGAGGGCGGGTGCCCTCACGGCAGAAAACGACCGAGTCCCGCAGTCCTGGCCCCCCCAGCCCGCGGACCCCAGAACTCAGCCCTCCTGTCCAGTCGCCGCGCAGCCCCCGCACAGGCCACCCGCGTGCCGCCCGCGCGCCGAGGCACCTCCGACAGACCCCGCAGGTGGCCCGACAAGGTCGCGGGCCACGTGGGGGCGCCGCACCCCAGCACACGCATGGAGAGGAGGCGACAGCCTCCACACACCGTCTTGCATTCTGATGTTCCAACCTACTTTAGCCTTGACCACCAGAGAGAATCTCGAGCACCAGCAAAAGTGCCGAAACTCGACGGCGTTCGCGTGCCGGAGCCCGGGAAACACTCGCCCGACACTGTCCCAACACTCTTTCGACACTCGTTTGACACTTTTCCGGATGCTCGAAATCATTTCTGGGATGGGAGCAACATAAAAGCCTTGCAGGGGGGGTGGGCCCTCTCTCCAATCCGTGCTTCGGTGCGGATCGTCTGCGCGCCTCGTCTCCGTCGCCGTTCGCCGCGCCGCCGCGGTCGTGGTGCGTGCTGCTCTGCTCGGGGCTTGTTCCCGACTGCAGTGACCACGACCACCACCACCCTTTCCCTCCTTCCTCGCTCCCCTTCTCTCCCTATTTCCCCCCCCCCCTCTCTCCCGTGCCCCCCACTCCCCCCGCCCTCCCTCGCACCCCTCTCTCCTCATCCCTCCCCCCCCTCCCTCATCCCCCTGTCCCCCCCTAACCCCCTTCGCCCTCCCCTCCTCCCGGCTTCCTCCCCCCTGCCCGGAGGAGGAGGAGGAGCAGGAGGAGGAGGAGAAGGAGGAGAAGGAGGAGGACGACCGGGAGGAGGAGGAGGAGGAGGAGGAGGAGGAGGAGGAGGAGGAGGAGGAGGAGGAGGAGGAGGAGGAGGAGGAGGAGGAGGAGGAGGAGAGGAGGAGGAGGAGGAGGGGAGGAGGAGGAGGAGGGGAGGAGGAGGAGGAGGAGGAGGAGGACGAGGAGGAGGGAGGAGGAGGAGGACGGAGGAGGAGGAGGAGGAGGAGGAGGAGGAGGAGGAGGGAGGGAGGGAGGGAGGAGGAGGAGGGAGGAGGAGGAGGAGCCTGCCTGCACAATCCCCGAGGGAAGCGACCGCCCGGCCGAGGCCCGCACAGCTGCAGTGCCATCGCCGCGGCGGCGTACACGCCTGATGCGCGCGCGCGCCCCGCGCGCGCTGCCGAGGCCGGGTTGGCGGCGGCGCCGCCGCGGGCGGCGGGGACCTCCTGGGTTCAGGATGGGCCTGGCCGAGGTGCAGCGGATATGTATGGATTTCGTCCCCCGACGTGTGTGCACGATGCACGCCTGCTTCTCCTCCTCCTCCTCCTCCTCCTCCTCCTCCTTTTCCTCCTCTTCCTCCTGCTCCTGCTCCTGCTCCTCCTCCTCCTCCTCCTAACGAATTGGCCCCTCGGGATTGTCCCGCGGCTACCAGGCCCAGCTGTGAGGCAGGAGCTGGGCCCGAGGCCGTGCTGTTGGGGGAACCGCTCTCGCATGCGGTTTCCCCACCCAGGGTGGCGTTTCGTGGCCCCATCGGGAGCTCCACCGAAGGCCCCAGCGGCTGCTCTCGCATGCAGTTCCCCTGCCCAGGGCAACGCTTCGTGGCCCCATCGGGAGATCCACCGAAGGCCCCAGTTGCTGCTCCCGCACGCGCCCCCCCCCAACACACACACACACACACACACACACACACACACACACACACACACACACACACACACACACACACACACACACACACACACACACACACACACACACACACACACACACACACACACACACACACACACACACACACACACACACACACACACACACACACACACACACACACACACACACACACACCACACACACACACACACACACACACACACACACACACACACACACACACACACACACACACACACACACACACACACACACACACACACACACACACACACACACACACACACACACACACACACACACACACACACACACACACACACACACACACACACACACACACACACACACACACACACACACACACACACACACACACACACACACACACACACACACACACACACACACACACACACACACACACACACACACACACACACACACACACACACACACACACACACACACACACACACAACACACACACACACACACACACACACACACACACACACACACACACACACACACACACACACACACACACACACACACACACACACACACACACACACAAACACACACACACACACACAACACACACACACACAACACACACACACACCACACCCACGGCAGCGCTTCGTGGCCCCATAGGGGGCTCCACCGAAGGCCCCAGAGGCGCAGAACGCACGCGCTTCCCCCGCCCATGGCAGCGTTCCGTGGCCCCATAGGGAGCTCCACTGAAGGCCACAGTGGCGCAGCTCTCATGCGGTTCCCGTGCCCAAGGTGCAGTTCGCATGCGGTTCCCCCACCCATGGCAGCGCTTCGTGGCCCCATGGGGGGCTTCACCGAAGGCACCAGTGGCTGCTCTTGCATGCGGTTCCCCCACCCAGGGCAGCGCTTCTTGGCCCCATAGGGAGCTCCACCGAAGGCCCCCGTGGCGCAGTTCGCATGCGGCCCCCCTGCCCAGGGCGGCGTTTCGTGGCCCTATAGGGAGCTCCACCGAAGGCCCCAGTGGCGCAGTTCGCACGCGGTTCCCCCGCCCAGGGCAGCGTTTCGCGGCCCCATAGGGAGCTCCACCGAAGGCCCGCCCCAGTGGCGCAGTTCGCATGCGGTTCCCCCACCCAAGGCAGCGTTTCGTGGCCCCCTAAGGGTCCCCACCGAAAGCGGCACCCACAATGGTTGGGTCCTTCGCCAGGATAATTGAACCTCCCTCCTGTAGAGGGACAGGCCCGACTTAAGACTACCTGGGGGTTTTAATAAACGTCGGCAGATGCGATCTGGGGGGGGCTGTCTGCGCGCAACCTGAAGCCTCGACAAACTCAGGGCCCCGTCCCTGCCCGCCATCCTGATGTGCCAATCCTCCTCCTCCTCGTCCTCCGTTTCCTCCTCCCTCTCCTAGCCTACATCCTCTCCTGCCTGTGGTAGTTGTGGCGGTGGTGGTGGTGGTGGAAAATCTGCCCATCGGATCCGCCCCAAAACTTTTGAAATCCCGATCCTTGCCCCAAAACCTGCTAATCCTGAATCGTTTTTGGAGGGTCTCATGGCACGGCGGGGGCCCCCAGGGCCGGAAAAATAACGAACAACTTGCCGTCCTGATTTCGTTGGCGCCACGATTATTAAGACGAAGCCAGGGCGAATATCACATCGGGCGATGATAAATCGAATGTCTGAGATCCGGCAGCTCTGGCGGGTGTCTCGGGCGCCGCGCTCTCCTCAGAGCGTTCCGGAACGCTCTGGGAGCGTTCAGGAACGCTCTGGAACGGAGCGATCCTCGTCCTAGCCCGACCCAATCACCTGCGCCCGTACGCCGACCTCGCCCGCGAGCTCCAGCACCCGCCTCGAGGTCGCCGACGACCACGACGACGACGTCGAGGAGGAGGACGACGACGAGCACTTTAACACGCGTGCTCAGGCATGCGACTGGGCGCCCCTAGGCTCGGCACCCTGGCCGAGCGCGCGAGGGCACGCCCGAGGCAGGGTGGGCCAGCGGCCTCAGCGCGCATTCTCTCTGGCGGCGGGCGGGGGCCAGCAGGCTGATGGCCATGCCCCCGCCTCCGCAATTCTCGGCCTGGCGGCAGGCGACGATCAGCAGGCTAACGGCTGCTGCCAATTCTCCCGCCTCCGCCGTCCCTGGCCGCTTCTCCGCGGGATCTCCGTCGCGTTCGCGGCCTGCGCCTTCTCAGCGTCCTTGCGCAGGAGCCACTCTGGTCTGCCCCTGCTAGACCACTGCTTGTGCTTCGGGGCCTCCGCCTTCAGCTCCTCCTCGGGCCTGGCGGTGGCCTTCCTCTGCTGCTGCCCTGCGAGCCCGTGCTGAGCGTCGTCCGCCTTGGGCTGCCACCACTTGGTCGCGCGCCTCTGCGCGCGCCGGCTGGGTTTTTTTCGAGCGGCCCCCAACCGCGCCTGGACCGTTTGAGCGTCGCCGTTGCCCTGCTCCGTCACGTAGGTGTGCGGGGGGCTGCCCTGGTACTTCGCGGTGCTCTGCTGGTTGCCGAGGGCGCCCAGCGTGCACGCATCCGCGGAGCGCACCTGGCCGTCCTCGTCGCTCAACTGTCTCCTCTGAGTAGAGCTTCCTGCCCTGGCCCTCCGCGAAGCTCGGGGTGTGGCCCTCGATCCACTGGGCGTCGCCGTCGTACTGCTGCTCGACGTTGCGCGACTGGCCCTCCCCGCCGACGATCTCGCCCTCCTTCTGCACGATGTCCAGGGCGGGGAAGGCAGGGACCTCCGAGAGCGGGGCGAGCATGTGCAAGTTGCCCAAGACCTCCTCGAGCTCCTCTATCTGCTTGCCCTGCTCATCGACCGCGTTGGCGAGGTCGCGCGCCTCGGTCTCCACTTGTTTGACCCGCTCCTTGAAGTCGTATCGCTCCGCCTTCAGCTTCTCCCCCAGGGCGTGCATGTCCTGGTCCTGCTGGCCGAGCTGCTTCAGGAGCTCCGCGCTCTGGGCCTCCAGCTGGGCCTTGATCCGCATTGCCTCCAACAGCTCGGCCCCCTTCTGCCCCATGGCGTGCTTGCTTTCCGCCTTTTACCGCCTCCAGCTCCGGCATCTTCTCGCCCAGCAGCTCCTGGCAGGAAGACTTCTGCTCGAGCTTGCACTCGTGCTCCCCGGGCAACGGCTCGCTGGAGCCCGCCTCCTCGTTCACGAGCTTGGGCTTCCCGTGGGCCTCGCCGCCATCACCGAGCCGCGCCCTCGCCTGGACGAGGGCCTCGTCGCCCGTGCCCGGGTGATGCAGCAGGCTCGCGGCGGGGTCAATCCCCCGCCGTGCTCGCTCGAGGTGCGGTGGGGGCCTCCTCCCCGGGTCCCTGAGCTTTTCCTTCAGCCCCTTCGCCAAGGTGCTGCCGCCCAGGGCGGCGACGAGCTCGGCGCCACAGCCGATGAGGCGCTGCGCGTGGGCCCCGAGGCAAGGGCGGCCCTCGCCCTCCTGCCCGCCTCCCGCGCGCGTGGCCGCCTCGGCCTGCGCCTCCGCCGCCGCTGGCGAGGACTCCGCCGACTGCCCCTCCGCCTGCAGGAGCAGCATGAGCTCGGCGGCCTCGCCCACGGTGCCCACAGACGCGAGGGCGGCGCCGTGGCGGACCGTCGGCCCGCGGCGCCCGCCTCGCCCCATCGCGCTGTGGGGGGCCGCGCGCCAGGGGGCTGCGCGGCCGCGGCGCTCGCGAGGGCGCCTCCGCACGGGTCCCAGCGCCTGCCAGGCCCCTAAGCCAGAATGGCTACGGGGAGGACGACGAGGACGACGAAGACGAGGACGGGACGAGGGCGAGGAGGACGACAACGAACGCGGCGAGGACGACGTCCTGGCCCCGTCCGGATCAGAGCCCCGCTCTGGACGGACTTCGATCGCTCTCGTACCCTCGTCGTCGTCCTCCTCCTCCTCCTCCTCAACCTCCTCTCTCCTCCTCCTCCTCTTCTTCCTCCTCCTCCTCCTCCCTCATCTCCTCCTCCTCCTCCTCCTCCTCCTCCTCCTTCATCTCCTCCTCCTCCTGCTACCCCTCCTCCTCCTCCTCCTCCTCCTCCTCCTCCTTTCCTCGATCGCTCCTGGACCCCCGGCCTTACTAATGTTTTGTTCTACGACGCGATCGATGGCCTTCAGGCGTCGCCCCCGTCTTGTTGTCCTGGGCGACCCTGGCCGTCGCCTCCGCGTACATCCTGGCGGCCTGCCCCCGCGGCTGGGCGGGCCAGAGCCGCAGGGCGCGGTTCGCGGATCCTCCTCCTCCTCCTCCTCCTCCTCCTCCTCCTCCTCCTCCTCCTCCTACTCTCCTCTCCCTCCTTCCCCTCTCTCCTGTCCCCTTCTCCCCTTCTCTCCTCCCCCTATCCTGCCACCTCTTCCTCCTCATCCTCCTCCTCGTGATCGTCGTCGTCGTCGTGGTCGTGTTCGTGGTCATGGTCGTGGTCGTGGTCGTGGTCGTGGTCGTGGTCGTCGCCGCCGCCGCCGCCGCCGCCGCCGTCGTCGTCGTCGTCGTCGTCGTCTCTTCCTCCGCCTCCTCCGCTTCCTCCTCCTGCTCCACCTCCTCCTGCCACACGTCGTCCTCCTTCTCCTTCTCCTCCTCTCCTCCTCCTCTCCTCCTCCTCCTCCCTCCTCCCTCCCTCCTCCTCCTCCTCCCCCTCCCCCCCTCCTTCCTCCTCCTCCTTCCTCCTCCTCCTCCTCCTCCTCCTCCTCATGATCATGATCATGATCATCATGATCATGATCATCAGCATCAGCATCAGCATCAGCATCAGCATCAGCAACAGCAACAGCATCATCATCATCATCATCATCATCATCATCATCATCATCATCATCATCATCATCATCATCATCATCATCATCATCATCATCATCATCATCATCATCATCATCATCATCATCATCATCATCATCATCATCAGCATCATCATCATCATCATCATCATCGTCGTCGTCAGCATCAGCATCATCAGCATCATCAGCATTATCAGCATTATCAGCATTATCAGCATCAACATCACCAGCATCATCAGCATCATCAGCATCATCAGCATCATCACCATCATCATCATCATCATCATCATCATCATCATCATCATCATCACCATCACCATCATCATCAACATCATCATCATCATCATCATCATCATCATCATCATCATCGTCCCCCTCCTCCTCCTCCTCCTCATCCTCCTCCTCCTCCTCCCCCACTCCCGTCCCCTTGCTGCTGCTGCCGCTGCTGCTCTCTTGCTTTCCATGTCGGCTCAGAGGCTCTCTGAGTGCAAAAGGGCACGTCTTCAATGCTTCGGTTCAGCCACGCTTGCCACGGCTACCGAATAGTGAACATCGACTTGCCCTGAGCTGGTGAATGTGAATGGCACACGGATGCCACAACAGCAGGTGGCAAGATTCATGTGGCCGGGGGCTGTTGTCACACATCCGATCTCCTTGATTACCACACTGTGCTGAACATATGGTTTTGTGACCGACGTGGGGCGATTGCGGACAAGCAACTTCGGTCGCTGGGCAAGCCTTGCACCACCCCCACACGTACTGGCCGTGAATATTTAGACCGAATGGGACTGGGCGAACCCCCAAAATTCGATGCAAATGCCAACCTAACATAAAAGCTGCAAGTGTCAAATATCGAATCACGTTCAGTAAGGCGTTCTTGCATTCGCAATTGTTTTCTCTTCCTCCTTCTCCTACTCCTCCTCCTCCTCCTCCTTCTCCTCCTCCTGCTCCTCCTCCCCCACCTGCTCCCTCCTTTCCTCCTCCTCCTGCTCATCCTCCTCTCCGCTCCCTCCTCCGCCTCTCTCCTGCCCCCTCCCCTCCTCCGCGCCTCCCCCTATCCTGCCACCTCCAACTCCTCCTCCTCCTCCTCCTCCTCCCTTTTCTCTCCTCACCCTGGTCTTCCTCCTCGTGCATCCTGCTCCACCCTTCTCTCTTCCCTCCGAGTTCCATCCTGCTCCCCTCCCCACTCCGTCCCCCGTCCCCCTTCTTGATCAGTACCTCCCTGTCGCACCACCAGACGTGCAGTGCAGGCTGAACGTTTCGCTTGACATCTCCTTGCTATCCGGAAGCTGCAGAAGCTCTTACATTCACATTGAAGGAGGGCCGCTGGTGTTCAAAATGCATGTCTAGCTGAATGCGGTGATCGCCAGAAGGCAACGCGCACCCATTGACACCAACCCAACATTTGTTAAACGAGGATTGAGCGGGGGCGGTTTTCAAAGACAAGCTCTCGCCCCAACGACGCCCATGTTCTTCTTCCTTCCATCAGCCACACGGATATTGGGCGACTCCTTTGGAATACTGGGCACTTGCTTGGGACTCCTGCGAACGTGTGACCATCCGCAATCGCGCTCTCAGGCAATTTGGAACGCTCGAATATCAGTCCCCGATCTTGGCAAATCGTTCATGGGTCCAGACTCCAATTCCAAAGGTGTGCCGGCTCGGATTAGCGGAGCATCGCTCCGCCAATAAGCATCGAACTGACTGCTTCACTCCCGTCAACGCATAACCCTTTCGCCAATAGGCATCACGCCGTGTACATAATATTGCCCCGCACCTGATAATGGTGCGCTGCTCCGAAATTTAGAGCACTGTGCAGCCTCGCGGAGGCGCTCCAGCGGGTTCTGTTGGCCCAGGGGAGGGACGGGATCGCAAACGCAGCGAAAGACATGTTCTGAGAACAACACGAACTAGTTCTTAAGTTTCTGAACACGGTAAAACTTTCCGAGGGTCAAAATGCTAGCGCGATGTGGAGACAGCGGGTGAGAGATCGGATGCCCGAGGGAATGGGTTGGGCCCACAAGTGGGCCAAGAAGGCTCAACACAGGGGGCCAAGCAGCGTTCAGAAGAACGACGGGGACTCCTCGGGCTGCCCCACGGAGCTCCTGGACGCCGCGGTCATAAGGCTCGCCGAGGTCTGGAACTCAAAAGGCGGAACCTCGTCGTCTGGCCCCCGGAGACCCTCGAGCCGCAGGGGCCCTGCCTCGGACGACCCCATCGAGATCCCCGCCGGGCCCTGAAGAAGTTTGGCCGCGCCACCGCAAGGACTGCGCCCCAAGCTCTGGACGCCCGAAGTGGGTACGGAAAGAATGGGTACAGTGCCCAACAACTGATGCTGTCCCAAACCGACAGCGGCCGCTGTTGGGCGGGCGGCCTTCTGTCTCAAATGGACACAGGCCGCGGCGGCGCGGACAGCGAACCCAGGTCGAAATGAACGAGATCCGCTGTTGGGCATTGTGCCCCTTCTTTCCGTGCCCATTCCGTTCTTCGCCCCATCTACTCGCAGACATTATTTGCCCCATTTCTTCTTTGCCCCACTCGTTCTTTGCCTACTCTTTCCGTGCCCACTTCGTTCGCGCAGACAAGCATGCTGCCCTCCTTCTCGGCGGCGGCGGGAGTTGCTCCGCAGGCTCCCCAGTGCGAGAGAGAGCGCGCGGGCCGCCTGCCGACCCATTTTTCCTCGCAGCGATCACAGCCTTGATGCCCGAGCATGTAAGTCCTCAGGAGGGGACCCACTATGCCGGGGCATTGGTTGGGTGCCCAGCACGTAGCGAAGATGGGCCAGCATGCGTCAGGACAGCTGCGAGGAGCTGGGAGCGCCAGCGCCGCCGCCTTCTTCTTGCCCACCAGGTGGGCAGATCGATACCCGAGCTGGTTTACCGGCAGTCGCTCCAGTCAGAGAGTAGCACAGCTCAGGATATCTCCCTCCGCACGCCCTCCATCATGTGGGACCTCACTAACCACTATGAGAATGTGAATCGTGGAAAGCTACAACAGAAAACCTTATCAGCAGGCCTCAACGGAGCCACCCTCGCCATCATCATTAACCAATACCAGAGCCAACGTATGATGACCCTACGTAATCAGACGGGATCCCAACGCGCTGCAATTGTGCTACAATGGAGGCCCGACCACAAGACATCTTCCGCAAGAAACCCAACCCTGAGACCCCAGGACGTCCATTCATATTTTTGGTATGGGAGGCCACGCACTCCATCGCAAAACCATCGAAACTGGAGAAACCCAGGCCACCCTGGAGGCAAGCAGGGTGTTTCCTGGCATGAGTCTCCACTGTACGTTGTTGTTCAAATGTATTTCTTGGAACCCTTGGATAGATGGACCTCTAACGTACCCGTATCATTCCACATGTTCATCGATGACTTGCTCCTCCTCCATTCCCACGAGTGCAAGGCCACCCTCATCGCGGGTATGAGGAAAGCGGCCGCCAGCCTTTTGCGCGCGATCCAGCACGACCTGGAATACGAGATTGCGGTGGCCAAGTCAGCAGTTTCAGCATCGCCAGTAGAGATTCAGAAGAAGCTCGCGACGCAGTTTGGCATGTACTCAGGATCCGCCCCATCTAATGCAACTAATCTAGGAGTTGATTTGCAAGCCGGACAGAAAAGGGAAAACAGCATCAGCAACAACAAGCTTCGAGAAAAAGTGTCCCAAACTGAAAGCAAGGGTCCCCCAAATCCGTGCTGTCCACCGCGCCAGAGGAAACGCTCTCAAACTGTACAGTACTGGTTTGGGGCAGGCGCAGTTTTACGGAGCGGACGCAGTTGCAATGGATAATGTTGAACTTCGGACATCTAGAAGGCTGTTCTGGGTTTCGTAATGCGTAAACACAAGAAATTACACGTCGGACGAAAGAAGTAAGTAGAAGCATGAAGTAGGAAGGCTGATATAGTGGATTGGGTCCAGGTCCTCCCAGAGAATAACAAAACACAGCAACAGCATGCCGATTCTTGAAATAGGATGGCGCTTGAAATAGATCGGGATCTGGGAATCCAGAACTACCTACTTTCAACGACCGGCATGTAAGCTAAACTAATTTTGATCAAAATGAACTGAAATATGGGCCCAGAGTCATGTTGTTCCCATCCTGCTTAAGGACTGCATCCCAGAAATAATTTCGAGCACCCCGAAAAGTGTCTCGAAAGAGTGTCGAAACAGTGTCGGACGAGTGCCTCCCAGGGCCCGAGACGTAAACACTCTCGAGTTTCGGTATGTTTTGGGGTGCTCGACATGCTTTCTGGTGATCAGGGCTAAAAAGTAGGCTGGAACATCCTAAGCCCAGGGGCGATCGCCAGATCGCTCTCGCTTGCTCCCTGCCTCCTCGGGACCCCTGCTGGCGCCCAGGAGCAGGGCCCACTCTGTTGTGGTCCACCCTCGCCCGGAGAGCAGCGGCAG